CAATACCACTACTAGTTCTATATCCCAAAGATGTAAAAAAATGAAAAGGAAAAAGAGCTATGTGAAGAAAAATATTTATAGCAACTATTTTTGTGTTGGCAAAAAGTTGAAAATTGAAGGGATGTCTATCAATTGAGGAATAGCTGAGCAAATTGTTGTATATAATTGTGATGAAATACTATTGAGCTTTAAGAAATGATAAACAGAGGGACAGCTAGATGGCGTAGTGGATAGAGCACTGGCCCTGAAGTCAAAATTAAACTTATGTTCCTTAGTCCCAAAGGGCAGAACAAAAAACAATGCAAAGAGAAAAAGGCACAAAGGCTAAAGGTGCAAAGAGAGAGATTTTGGCTTGAGAAAAGGAAAACTTCTCAATTCTCTTCTTCAGACTAAACATCTCTCAGTTGGGGCACAGGGCTCAGGAAGCTCAGAGATCTAAAGCTTTGTGGCAATGACAGAGAAAAACTAGCTGCCACTTTTGACACATTTGGGCTGCAGGCTTATTAAAGAAGGGAACACTTCAGGTGAAGTAATCTAGGGTTTGACTTGTGAGTGCTGCCTCCCTGTCTGACTAGAGCATTTTCTTTGCATTCCTCAGGTAGTAATTTTCTCCCACCTATAGTGCTGGACTTCTTACCTGTGCTCTATCTGGACATATTGTGAGTTGGAGAATGGCAGTGAGTAGAGAGGAGACAGCACTTAAGATAAGGTCTTGGTTAGAGCCCTTTAAAATTTTTTCTCCTTTTGGCCAAACTCCTACCTTGGGCATTATATATCATGTTAAAAACAAGATGTATGTTGATCTTAATGCATATCTCTACAGAGATACACACATTTTACCATATATTGTATTTATATATATATTTACATATATATAGACAATACATATATATAAACACATCTCTACAGATTATATATGTGTGTGTGTGTGTATACACATATGTATGTAACACATGGGAATAGATCAGCTATAGAACCCTATACACAGACACACACACATATATATATATATATATATAACATTATATATATGTATATGTTTATATATATTGCACTAGATATGGTATTTTCCCGAATAAGCATCCGTCCCAATTTTTTTTCATATAAATAAGCATTGTTATTAAAAACAAAACAGAACTTAAAAAAAATACCAGATTGTGAGTCAGAGGGTTCAGGTCAGGAGGTGAAGGTAGAAAGGAGTGAATTTGGGATTCAAAACTTTAAAAAATGAATATTTAAGTTTCTGTTTACATGTAATAGAGGATAAAACAAAACAAAACATTGAAAAAAGTTTAATTGGAACTAATACCTTATTGATCATTTTTTCAAATCAAGCTCTGATTTGTAGCATGTGATGATTTCTTTTTAAAAAATCTTATTTTATGTTTAATTTTTCCCAATTACATATAAAAACCAATTTTAACATATATAGAACATTATATGTACAGAGAGAGATTATTATATATATGCATGTATATACATAAAAATTATATATATATATATATATATACATATATATATATATATATATTCCCATGTGTTACATATATATGTGTATATATATGTATAAATTGTACCTTGCTATATCAAAGAAGTTCTCAAGATGTACAAGTGACCTGAAGTGACCTTGAATACTCACAGGCTATACAGGCAAATCCTCACTGGTATTTACTAGACATTTTCTGTCTCTGGGCTTCAGTTTCCTCATCTACAAAATGAAGGATTATAGGGGTGGGGAACTTGCACCTTGAGGCCCCTTGTGGCCTTCTTCTAGGCCTTGGATGTGGTCTTTTGACTGAGTTCAAGTTTTACAGAACAAATCCTTTTATTAAAGGGATTTGTTCTGTGAAGTTTGTATTCAGTCAAAGGGCTGCACTTGAGAACTGAGAGGGCCACATGTGGCCTTGAGGCTGTAGGTTCTCTACCCCTGACAGGTTTTCCTCTAAAGTCCTTTCCAACTTTAGCATTCTAAGACTTTACAACCTCATAAGTTTTGTCAGATCTTAACAAAAAAGATTTCAGGAACAAATTGTCCCTTGTGTCATCCAGCTGAGTGCAGCTCTAATGAATATCTCCAGTGTTTCTTCTACTTTCTGCTGGGACTCTCCAAAGCTGATATTCCTTCTACTGTTTCTCTCAGCTGCCATCTTGTGTATTTGCTTCTAGGGATGGCATCAGTAAGTTAACAAGTATTTATTGAGCACTTACAATATGCAATATAAATTAAGCACAAGGAAAAAAAAGACTGTCTTTCCCTTCAAGGAGTTTACATTCTAATTTTTATTAGATAGCACTCTTTTTAATTTGATTTGATTTAATTTGATATTGCTAAAGGCCATCTTTAGCTCTTTTATGATACAGGCACCCAACTAGTTCTATCTATTAAGATAGCTAGAAAAATTACTTATATGAAGTCCACATTTTGAACTCACTCTTCTCCCCTATCTGTCTCTGTTTAATTGAACTTTCTCTGTTTAATTCTTCTCTGAGTTATGGTTAGAAAATTAGTTTTAACTTCTATCATACTTAACTCTAACCCTGGTACAGGCAGATCACTTCCATGGGCTCTGCTAAACAGAGCTGCAAATGGACTGGATAAAACCAGAGTGAAGATACTCTTTTTCAGTTCCCACCATCATGCCTCCTATGAGGTTTTGTGTGTGTGTGTGTGTGTGTGTGTGTGTGCGTGTGTGTGTGTTTGTTTTGTTTTGTTTTGTTTTGTTTTTGCAAATCGCAGGGATTGAGTTGGGTTCAATAGACTGAAAAGGTTCAGCAACATTTTTTCTTCTTCCAATTAGCAACCAAAAATTCTGTGTTTCTTCATGTAGGCTAAAACACACACACACACACACACACACACAAAAAAAAAAACTCACACACACACACACACACACAAAACAATCCTAGAGGCTTACTATGAGAAGGTTAGCCAAAAGGGGATGAAAGTTTTGGTTTCAGTAACTAATGAAATAAGGAATAATTTGTGATCTATGCTATTGGACAGAGGACCCAACCAGATGAAATGAATGCTTCATTATGCTAATATAACTGAAAATTTTTAGCTTTTCAAGTAAAATTTCAATAGTGACCCCCTTTAGATCATGAATTCTTGATCTGGGGGCTATATAACATTAGGGAGGCCATGGATAGATTTCAGGGAGTCTTTGACTTTGGATAGGGGAAAATAGATTTATTTCAATATAATTGGTTTCCCTTTTAATACTATGTATTTTATTTTAAACTTTTAAAAAGGTTATTTGGAGAGAAGTTCCATATTAGCTTGATGAAATCTGGCAGGCTGTACCAAACTATCAAAGGAGTCCATGGCACAAAAAAAGCTAAGCACCCTTGCTATGTATGGTAAGACCCTCCAGATGTTACCGTTTGTCCATAATATTGTTTTAATTGCATCAAGTCCCAAAAGTAATGAAGACCTTCCTAAATTAGGCCTTTAATCTCTCAAAATAATTTGACTTAACTACGAGGGAAAAATAATTAAATGGACAAAGAATTCTTATTGTTCAGGGTATGATAAGCCCTTGGATAAACAACCTATAAAGCTGATGTCTATATCTTAAACTGATACAGCAAATTGATCATGAATCAGCCCTAGGATTGAGCAAGAAGAGGAAAGTGGATTATTTTGCCTTTGGGAAACACCATCTGGTAATATTGTAGAAGTGTGCAAAATAAAATGCGAACACATCAGGGAAAAAATGGAGTTGAGGATTAGCCAAAGTGCAATGGAGAGGCTCGTGGTAGCCATGAGTAGACTGTAGAATATTAGAAATAAGTAATTACGTCGAAGAGGTAATGTAAAAGGTTCTCATCAATGAAATATATACTCACAGAACAGGAGTGAGTGCAAGATAACCAAGGGGCCACCATTTTGCTCCTATGGTATACTAAGAACATCAGGAGAACGTGAGGAAGGTCTTCCTAGCACATTGGATAAGATAACATTAATGGGACTTACAGGATAGGAAGGCATAGGTGGGATGTGAGCTGAATTTTTGGATGGAATATCCAAATCATCTCAAATACTTTGGAGTATTGAAATAATGGGTCAAGCCAGCCAAGCTAAGTAGAATGCTCTGATAAGTATCCCACTGAGTGAGACTGGTTTGGCTTAGCAGTGGAGCTGAATGCTGAATATGCACCAATTTGCAGATCTCTGCAAAGCACTCAGGCCATGGCTGACACCTAAAATTGCACATACTGAGTTGCTGTTGTTAGCAGTATTTTCCCTCATTGCATGGTGTTTTCCTGAATAAGCATCTGTCCCATTTTTCTTCACATATATGAACATTGTTATTAAAACCAAAACAAAATTAAAAAAAATACCAGATTATGAGTCAGAGGGTTCAGTTCAAATCCTAACTCTGTTACTTTCTTCCCTGAATGACTTTGGGCAAGTCACTGACTTTTTCTGGGCCTTATTTTGTTCATCTATAAAATGAGGGGATTGAATGAGATAATTCCCAAGATCCTTTCCAGCATCTGATCCTCAGAATGTGTTGTGAGACAATGTGGTAATCAGTAAAAATAATACTCGATGTTTATATGGCATTTTAATGTTTGCAAAGTACTTTACCTACATCATGTCATTTGAGCCTCACAGAAAATGGTCAGGGTAGGCACTATAATCTCCATTTGGCACATTAAGAAACTGAGCATCAGAGGGGTTAAGCAGCTTGCTTGCACAATGCTAGTAAATACCAGAGCAGGATTAAAAGCCCAGGTCTTTTAACCACTAGTCTTGTACTCTGCCTCCTGTAGCACACTGTCTTTCAAAAAGATTGAAGGAGAGAAATAAAGCTGTTAAGCTTTTGCTAAACTGGTCTTCTGATAAATCTCAGAAGCAACGAAAAGGTCGGGGTGGGGAAAGCTTAATTTTTCTGATAGGTTTCAGTTGAGTGATTTCTTCCGCAGCCTCATAGTCCCAGAGCCTTCTTTGTTTTCCCTCTAACATTTTTGTTTCTTTTCTTCTTTCCTTGCAGGGAAGTGATGATGACATGGTGGATAAGAACAAGTGTTGTACCCTCTGTAACATGTCTTTTACATCAGCAGTGGTGGCTGACTCCCATTATCAAGGGAAAATCCATGCCAAAAGGTTAAAACTGTTGCTAGGCGAGCAAACCCCCATAAAGGGCACAGGTAGGTCTATGAACAATAACCATCAGGAGATACTGGAAACAGAACAATGTGTACTGCTCATTAATTACACTCACTATTCGGAAGTACAATTGGTTGGAGCAGCAACTTAATGGTGGACCTTATTAAAAATAATAATAAATGACTGGTTAAGAAACCAAATCAAGTAACCACCATGATTCTTTCTTCTTTCTGTCATAACAACCTTCAAAAATTGCAGAAGTTCATTATATCATTTTGCTTTGTTTTGATTCGTGAGTTGGCAGCCCAGATTAGCTCTCCTTTCACATCCTGGGAAATGGCTTATATCCTAAAAGATTTTGGGTGTTGGAAAGAACCCTGGATTTGGAAAGACCTTGGTTTGAATCCTGGCTCAGTTACTTAATTGGGAATCTTTAATTTTTAGATGTTCTTTGATGGCTATGTATTTATAAATATACATACATATAGGCATGTATGCCTTAGTATATAATTAATATAATAATCCTTGTTTGTGACTTACAATGGAGTATATTTTATTTTGAATTTAGGGGTTACTATAGTTCTTCAAAGAATGTGAATTCATTGGCCATCTGTCTGTGCAACTTTGACACAGTTGTAATAAGATTAGTTTATTTATTTTCGTATTTAAAAAGTAAAATGTTATTGAAACCTTATTTAGCTTTAACATAACAGACACAATTCTGGACTTTCAATCCAATCCAACGAGCCTTTATAAAACATCTATTCAATCTGAAAGGCATTGCTGTGTGATGAGTATGAAAAGGAAAAAGGAAAAAAATGGCTCCTGGTCTCAAGAAACTCACCTTCTACTTGAGGAGGTATATAACACATAAACAGACAAGAAGATGCATGATAATTTCAGGAAGAGGGGAACACTAGCCACTGGGGCATTCATTAAGAAAGACTCCCCGTAAGACATGACTCATGAGCTAAGTCTCAAAGGAAATCAGAAAGACTTGGGCACAAATCTTACCCCTGACACATAGTATCAATCACCCAATCAATAAATATTTATTAGCACCCCAGCTATGTTCCAGGCACTGTGCTAATGATACAAAAGGATGCAAGAGACAGTTTCTGCCTTCAAGGAGTTCATAGTCTAATAGGATTTGCACAACTCATTTAATTTCTCAATGCCTCAGGAAAACTGCCTAGTACTTTTCAACTAAGTCATAGAATTATGACCTATAACACTTATTATATGTGTGGTCCAATCAGAAAGCATTTATGAAGCACCTACTATGATCTACTAGGGGTGGGGAACCTGTGCCTCGAGGCCACATGTAGCCCTTTAGGTTCTCATTTTCATAATAATGATTTGACCAAATCCAAACTTCACAGAACAAATCCCCTTAATAAAAGGATTTGTTCAGTAAAACTGGGACTCAGCCAAAAGGCTGCACCCAGGGACCTAGAAGGCCACACGTGGCTTCAAGTCTGCAGGTTAGCCACTCCTGATAGGCTTGTACTGAGTGCTGAGAATTCAAAGAACTGCTTCTGCCCTTAAGCAGAAGATGGTCTAATGTTCAGGGAGTTCCCATACTAGGAGTTCTACAAACATAGAAAATCAGGGATCCTTTACATATTTACCATTTTCCTAATTTAGAAGGAGTGTCTAATTATTAGCTGAGTGCCTTGGATCCAGGATCAGATAATCTGGTTTCAGATCTCAGCTCTGCCTCTTATTACCTGAGTGATCTTGGGCAAGTCATTTCCCACACATGCTTGGACCTTAGTTTCCTGTCTCTAAAATTTAGCTTGGACTACATGATATCTGTGGTTTCTTCTAGCTCTAAATTCTATAATCCCAGGTAAATTCTTGTCCAACTCTCTGATTCTGTGAAATTCTGTGAAATACTGCTTTGAACAAAGTGGAATTGTTTTGTAATCCTCTAAAGAGGCTGGAAATATTTCATAATTATTGCTAGTGGCAGGTTAGTTACCTTCACAAAGGAATTAAGTTTAGCTTTGCATTCTACCTCACTGTCTAATGAGTTGTGCATAAATCATCTGTACAATTAAATGGCCATTTAGTAGAGGGAAAAAAAGAACACAGATTTTAGAGAGTCTAAGATACTGCTGGCCTTTTTTCCTTACCAATGTCTCTTTTAAGAAAGTTTACTCTCTGCTGAGGCCAAACATGACAAAAAGGTGTTCACTGACCATGCCTGCAACTTTCTTGCCTCTGAGTCTTTTATTTGTTTGCTTACTCATTAATTATTTCATATTTACGTTCATTCATCTACCCATCCATTCATGCATTTATTCATTATTTCCTTTATACAATCCGTCAACAAGTATTTGTTAAGCACCTACTGTGTGCCACTATGAAACACTATGGTAAATGTTGGAGATACAAAGAAAAATAAAAAAGCAATGCTTGCTTTCAAGGAGCTTATATTCTAATGAGAGAGAATACATACATAAATCAAAACATACAAGATTGATACAGAGTAAATAGAAGGTAACAACAGAAAGAATGAAACTAGAAACTGAGGAGGCTTCCTAGAAAAAGTGATGCTTAAATTAAGTCTTAGAGGAAGTCAGAAATTCCAAGAACCAATAGTTTTGGAGGGAGAGCATTCCAGGCATGGGAAATAGCCAGTACAAAGGCATTAAATGTAGATGGAGGGTCTTGTGCAAGCAACAGCCAACAGTGTGACTGAATTACATTGAGTTTGTGAAAGGGAGTATAATTAAGAAGATTGAAAATGTAGGAAGGGTACAGGCTGTAAAGTGCTTTGAATGCCAAAAAATGACTTTATATTTGATACTGCAGGTAACAGAGAGCCACCCAGTTTATTGACTAGAGGGTGACATGATTAGACCTACACTTTAGGAAAACTACTTCAGCATTTCAAAGGACGATTAATTAGAGGTGGGAAAAGATTGAGGTAGGGAGACTGATTAGGAAGCTGTTCAGGTGAGATGTGATGAGGACCTGAACTAGGGTGGAAGCTGAGTGAAAGGAAAAAAAGATGATGTAGGAGAGAGATTACAGAGAAAGAAATTACCAAATTTGACAAGTGGATATGTGAGGTGAAGGAAAAAGAGGAGTCTAGGATGACTGTGGGTTCAAACCTGGGTAGCTGGAAGGATAGTGGTGCTGACAACTTTAATAGGGCAGTTTAGATGAGGGTAGGATTTGGTGGTAAATAATAATAAGTTTTTTCTTTGGATATGTTGTGCTTAAGATGCTGTTATAGGACATCCAGTTTCAAAAGTCTAATAGGTTTTTGGTGACATAGGACTGGTGTTCAGGATTGAAACCAGGACTTGTAAATAGATTTGAGAATCATCTACACAAAGATGATCATCGAATCCATGGGAGTTAATGAGATCACCAGGTAAGAGAGTATAGATACGTTGCATATGCTCTGTGAGTCAGGCTGCTAATTTTCCTTCTTGAGGGGTTGGGTGTATTGTCTCTACTGTCATTGACTCAATCCCCCATTCCCTGTGTGTTTCCTGAAATAGTCACCATTAGCAACTTGGTTCTATTTAACCAATTAATAGTATCAATTACCTTTTGCAAAGGTATATTTACTTAGGAGATATAACAAAAATAGAAGTACAAACATTTTCTCCAATATCTCAGAGGTGTACTCTCCCTTATGCCATCTCAGTTTCTGGGGAGAGTAGTCTCAAACTTGACACAGTTTATACATGGCATTGATCCCACCAAGTTCAAATTCAAATGCAGCATTGCTCCTGGATAAGTCCTCGTCTTAGCTACTGTTGGATTAGGTTCCAAAATTTGATTCTAGTTCCTCTTGGTACTCATGCTAATCTGGTTGCAAAACTTATCATGGACTGAACTCTGAGGCTTCTGGACCTCAGGCAGCCTGATTTCCTTATCTTTCAAAACTCACAAGGTCATTGCAGATTAATCTCACCTAAAATTAAAGAACAAACATCAAGGCAAAAGCCCAGAGCCACATGTTTTTTCTCAGATGGAGAGGACCCAAGGAGGGGTCTCTCCCCTGATAGGTTTGTCTGTCACCAAGGCACCATCAGCCGGAAAGAAGGAAATGAGAGACAGAGAGAGACAGAGAGAGAGAGAGAGAGAGAGAGAGAGAGAGAGAGAGAGAGAGAGAGAGAGAGAGAGAGGCTAGTGCCTTTTGAATGTATTCCCAGCCAATTAAGAGGGCTCTTCTTCACTAGGTGGTTAGTAGACCAGTGGCCATTACAAAATATCTGTTAGTGTTCCAAAGTCTTTGCAAGGGCAAGACACCCATTACATGTAATCACAAATCTCCCAGAAGCAGATTTCTGTCATTTTTCCTATTTTTAAAAATTTTATTTTTCTATTTGAAAAATTATAAAAAGTCTCACTCTGTGTATGTTCATAAAGACTGGATTCAATGGCCAGTCCTCCATACAAAGAGAGAAAAGAGGATATAGTCCCAGATAGACCCTTAAAAGACACTCAAATATCTCTTTTTAATTTATTTTTTAATTAACAAAAATATCTATTTTTCTTCCTCTTGTCTCCCCCATTAGGAAAAAAAAAGAAAAACAAAACTCTATAACAAATGGATACATTCAAACAAAAAAAAATTCTTTTGCTTCACTGATCATGTCTAAAAAGCATATGGTTCAATCTATACCCTGCATCCATTAGCTTTTTTGTTTTGGGTTTTTGGGGGTTTTTTTTGTTTTGTTTCCGGATCAGGAGGTGGGTTTGATCATGAGTTCACTACAGTGGGACATGAAGAGTTCTTTAGCATGACATGGATGAAGACTCATTGAAAGAAACCAAGAATAAGAACAAAATAAATAATTTCTTTATACTACATTTTCATAATAATGATTTGGCTAAAGACTATAGGGTTTTTTTTTCCAAAGGTTGATGTAATATAGACTTTTATTGTATTGCATATGTGAAATTTAGAAATGAACCCATCTTTGTCTTATAGGCACAGTCTGTACCATAGTGCAAGATAATACTAATAGTTTATATTTTTACATTACTTTAAGTTTACAAAATGCTTTCTTCA